CCACTGAGCCACATAGCCCTGACGCTGTTGATATTTTATTGTGTCCATATCTAGTAAATTTTTTACAATGCTGTGGTAATGCCACCGACGAGATACTATTAAAGATCGTCAACCTGGGCAAATTTTCGGTGGTATAAAAAGGGGCCCAGAGGTAATTGAAGAACGCTGACATTATCGACAATTGAAATAAATTTACTATTATTAACATAAATATTTGGCTTATACATTATTAAATTCATAATTTTTTATTACATATGTAAATGTTCCATAAATAAATATGCATACTTATAAAGCTATAATATCCTATATATTTACAATTTTTTTCTCTGCAGTTATCATTTCTGTTGATAATCAAACTGACGATAACACTGAAATCACAATTTTAAAGAAAAATCGAGTATTATTGAGTTCTAAATGCATAAATACGTCTACTAAATTTAGTAAATTATTAACAATAAAATTATTAAAAATATTATCAGTTTTTAACTCTTTATCACTTTAATATTAGGTGTACAAAAAAGTTCTGAGCTTTAGTTTGTAAAATTCAATCTTTATTTAAAAACAATCGTACGGAAATGGCTTGCTGCGTAACGCCAAGCTGTTCTGCAAGCTCCTTTTCAGTTTGCGCAGAGTTTATATCCAGCAGTGCTTGCAATTCGTCCGTTTCAATCTTTTCAGGGCGTCCAGCACGCGATTCATCTTTAAGACTGAAATCTCCTTGGCGAAACTTTTGATACCACCTTTTGCATGTTGCATGACTTACAGCGTTCTCTCCATATGCAGCACAAATCATTTCAGTGGCTTCAGCAGCATTTTTCTTCAGATGAAACGCGAAGTGGATGGAAAATCGAATATGCTCTTTTGTAATTGCCATCGTGAACACTACTGATTTTTGAGGTTATGTGCATCAAACGCCAAACCGTATCGCATTTCAGGAGGTTAAATGTTACTGTTTTAAAACCCCAAAAGGGCGGGAAGATATATAAAATTTAAATTGTTATTTCGGTTGTATCAAATCTAAAGCTCAGAACTTTTTTGTACACCTAATATTTACAAGAACGTGAACTCCTGTAAGCATGTCGGTTTTTAATAGTATCTTGTCGGTGGTGATGCTACTGCCAACGATGCTGTAACTTTCAACCTATAATATATAACTCGCAAAGTACTTAATGAAAAAAATATTTTATTGTAATGTTTTGAAAAGCTCTTGAGATAAGCTAAGAATATGCAATAAAAAATTGAGGATTCCATTTAAAAAATTCAAAATGACACCTTACCCTAATTTTGACAACGCAACCCAAGGTCAAACTAATAATACCATCTTATGTTCCTCTTGAAATCACAAAAAACTTTTGTCTGAAACTTTTTGATTTAACGTTTCTGAGATATTTAAGTGGATCTTTTAAAATGGGATACTCTGTATATACATTTAATCCTTTTTTTTACAAATGTACTTTTAAGATTTGAATACATATTCAGACACATATTTTTACGATTATATTTTATGATATCGATTGTTACAGATGATTTTCGAAGCTATGATTATGGAACAGCTGAAAATTATAAACTATATAAACAGAAAACACCTCCAAGTTATGATCTCGAAAAGATTACTGCTCCGATGATTTTATTTTACGCGACAAATGATATGGTTGCCCCAAAACAGGTAAAAATTTAGTTTTTAATCGCTTAATTTTTATTCATAAAATGGTAAAATTTTTTATATGAATATAACGAAATGCTCATTACGTAATTGTTAACAATATAAAGAATCTAATTGAATGCAAAATAAAAGGAACATAAGTAAAAAGGAAAATAGTGGATTTATATAGATAATTTATTTTCTGTTCTTAATATGTTTAAATTATCTCGTTATTAATACTGTTCTTTCATTACATTTTTGATTTTCAGAATGTGTTTGAACTTGACAAACGCTTACCAAATGTTTTTCTAATCGAAAAAGTCCCATACGAACTCTTTAACCATTTAGATTACATATGGTCAATCAACGGAAAAACTCTTTTATACGATCGTATATTAGAATTAATACAAAAATTTTATACTATCTAAAGTATATCCATAAAATGAATTTAATTAACGAATGTAAATTAAGTGAATCGAATTTCTCTTCTATAATTTGAAATACTAATAAACGAAGAAAATTGCTAGAAAAATGTGTGTGTGTGTGTGTGTGTACATGTATTTTTTTTATTTGCATGAAATTTGTCTGATAAAATTGTTTTGTTAGACTACTGTGTGATAAGATTAAAATAAGAATACATCTAACATTGAATTAATATTAATTTAAATTATAAATGATTAAACGATATGTAGATCGTACATATTTTTAAAGATGCATACCTTGCATATCCCAATTTTGAATCACTAGTCTTGTTGTGTAAAATTATAAATCAGTGCTATTTTTGACGCTTATTAAGCGAATAATAATCTCTATATTTTGAGATTATTTGAAGTAAGAATAAAGAGAACATTTGTTCAAATAATGCATAAGTGTTGCTCCGATTTGATTCTGATATCTTTATACAGGATGAACCAAAAGTCTAGATACACCCAAATATCTCATAAACATTTTAGAAAAAAATGTTTCTTACAAAAGTTCTAAGGCTTAAAAAAACGCATTCAACGATAGTATTTTATCTAGGATGACGCTGTCAAGATCAAGTCAAAGTCAACATGAATTTTTTAAATGGAACCTCCCCTTTTTCATTACATATTTTTATAGCTTATCTCGAGAGCTTTCCAAAACACTATAATTAAGTTCATTTTCATTAAGTACTTTACGAGTTATTATATCAGGCTTGAAAATTACAGTACCATCGACATTAGCATTACCTAAGATGTCCGACCGACGGCTAAAACCTCTTGAATGTTGTTCAGGATCATGTCCTGAATAACATTTATTAAAATCAAAGTCATCGGAGATTGTTTCTCTTATTTTCATTTTTATATAAAAATGAATTTTCAGTTTGCAAACATGAAAATAAGAGAAACAATCTCCAGTGATCTTGCGTAATGCTAATGTCGGTGGTACTGTAATTTTCAAGCCTTATAATAATTCGCAAAGTACTTAATGAAAATGAACTTAATTATAGTGTTTTGGAAAGCTGCTGTCGAGATAAGCTACAAGAATGTGTAATGAAAAAGGGGGGAAGGGGGGTTTCATTTAAAAAATTCATGTTGATCTTGACCTGACCTTGACAACGCCATTCTAGTTCAAATAACTCCTATCGTTAAATGCGTCTTTTTAAGCCTTACAACTTTTGTAAAAAACATTTTGTTCTAAAATGCATCGTTTATGAGATATTTGAATGTATCCAGACTTTGGCACACCCCGTGTATTAAATGCATTATTACAAATACTTATTTTTACTTAATTATTACAAATATATGTTTACATTATACAATGAATACTACAAACCCCAAGAAAAAAAAGAAGAGTCAATTTCATTTCTTTGAACTTATAGCAATCCTAATTAATTATATAAATATGTGTGTATGTGTGGTTAAATAAGAAATGAAGTAAAGATATACTTTCGCAAAGAGAAGAGATATTTTCATTACATAAGATATATGAAAAGCTATCCATCTGCATCGCAAAATATTGTTAAAGCTTCTTCATCTATCACTGTAACCTCTGCATTAAATGGAGATTGAATTGTAATTCGACATGTAATTTTTTGCTTTGAATGTATGTCACAATTCGATAGAATTGGACCAGAAATCTTAAATTTATCAAAATTATATGTTAAATTATTGATATTTAGATATATTCATCTAAAGAGATGCCTTGTCTAGAAAATTTATGAAATGAAATAAATAACTTAAATTTATATATCTAAATCCAATTTTATAGAAAAAAAATTGAAATAGCTATTTCTTTAATATATATACAAAGAATACAATTCATCATATTTTTACAGCCAATATTACTATATCTTTTAATTAAATTTCTCAAATTAAAATTCTATTAAAACAAGTTATCAACTGGTAATTAAAATTTTATTTATTAAATTTATTATCTATTTGTGATCTTTCAAAACTTGATATCTTATTTTTATACTTTTATTAATAAAAGTCAATTTCAAATTAATAAAAAAATTTCCTCTTTTTCATTATTCGTTAGTTAATTTATTTCGACATATTTTGTATAAATTAAAATCAGAAAGTTTGTGTTTATTCGACAAAAAATATACATTCATTGTTTAGAGAGTTTCATTAAAGATATTTGTTCATATGTCTCATAAATTAATTATATTCGAGTTTGTATTTTTAATCTATCGAAAAAGAGCAGTTTCTCTATTTTTAATCTATTTTTCAATTTTTATTTATTCAATGATTTAATGCATATATGTAGAATATAGAAATACCACGCGTGTACAATCGATCCCTAGAGTAACAAACCAAAAGATAATATAATGGACTCTCTACGATAAGTCATTACCTAAGTTTTAAATCCTATAAGCCACAAACACAATAGGTGTAGTAAGTCTTAAGCCTTAAGAAATTGACCAATTATAGTGGATTATTCCTTTCACATTCAATTGTGAATGATCAATTTCTTAAGGTTTAATCTATTGTGTTTGCGGGCTAAGATTTAAATATTGGCTTATTATAGAAAACAGAAGGTGCAAGAGATAAAATCAAATTTATATACGGAAAAGTTCAGCTGATTAAAAATAATATATAGTGTTAACTGTATTAAGACTTACGCGGAAGTTTATTTACGTATCTCTGTGTAAGTACGAGTATATGCGTGTACGTGTTTAAGTTAATTGTAGAAATTAATAATTAGATCATAAAATATTCAAATCATTTCCATACAATATATCTTATATATATGTATTTATCTGACTTATGTGCATGCATTATATCTTAAAACATACTATTTTACGGTTTTACAAGCATAAGAAATAAGAATCTTTATAAAAAAATTATTTCAATATACACATCTTGCTAATATAACAAGTTTCTTTTTTATCGGCAAATGAGTTTTCTGCTCATTATGGTTTAAATTTTTATGCGTAATTATCTATTCATTATGTAACTATCATATCTTGACTGTATTATTTAACAAAGAACACATGCGACCATGTGGATCGCCATCTTAGGAAACAACATGCTGCAGCAAAGGCAATTTTTTTCAGTACTAATTATCAGCAGTCGCATTCAAGTGTACAATATTAAATTTGTACCTTGTCTTGACGGTTCAGTTTCTCAGGTTTCTCAAGTTTTCAAATCTTGGCAATATAATCAGTCCTAATTAACATTTCTTTTCACAATGTTCAATTATCTAAAATGTATAACTTCTACGGCATTTTAGACCGTGCATTTCAATAGTATTAGCCAAATGTTACAACGAAGTATCCGATGGTGGTGTACTTTCGTGATGACTAATTTGACTTAGAGAATGTTGTAAAGCATCAGGCGTTAACCATTCCTTTGGCAAACAACGTTGGAGAAATGGTACACATGAACTAAAATAAGCCAGACGATTTACCCAACCAGGTATTTCTTGTCCACATAGAATCTAAAATACATTGTATTAAGTTCCATTGTACTTTCCATGTAATTTGCTCATTGATATTATTAAAGAAAGTACCAATGTGAACTGACTGCTGAAGTGATTACAGTTTTTATTCATCAGATGATAACGGTCTCCTCTAAAATCTTTGCCTAATTCTGTAATAATTCTTGAAACATCTTCTTCTGTAAAATCTGTATATCCAATGTGAACAGACTGTCTATAAAATAATCACATTGATTTTTCGTGGTACTCGAGAGAATATATATGCTTGTAAAAAAAAAGGTAAAAACTTTACCTGTATCTAAACTGTTCGCCTAGTTCGTCAGCTACTCTTGGAGTAATTTCAAAAATGCCACTTTTTGGTTGAGCATGACCACCATATGCATATTCTACAGCAGAAATATATCTAATGTATTGTCAAATTTTTGTTTTTTCATAATTGTACTCGCTTTTTCTTAAATATAACACATACCTATTCCATATATTTCCACTCCAGAGTGAAATACACCGAGACCAATAGGTGTAGTATATTCATTTATCCAATACTATATACATCAGGACATATAATAAATTAAATTAAATGTGTCTAAAAACAGTGTCTGATTATACATTCTTTTTATGAGTAGAATAGTTTGGCTCTTGTAGAAAACTGATTAATCATAAATAAATTTATAAAAATTATCATTTTTACACAAATTCGATAAATTTATAAAAATTATCATTTTTACACAAAAACGATTCATAATATTCATTTTACTTACAATACATTGAAAGTAGTAACTTACCATATCATAAACATTAAGAATGATTGGCTCACGTGCCATTTTTGGGATCAATTCCTCACTATCTTGTGGATAACCCAAACAACTGGGGAAGGAGAGATTACAGTTAAGGCCAGATGAAAACATCATTGGAAACTTTGTATTAATCCTCAGATTAAAGTTGCCTATTAATGTCTTAATAAACCTAACAAATAAATATACAATTTTTATTTTTCTAGTCTTTATATTCACAGAGAAAAATATAAATTAATTGCTATATGACAATTAGTTTAAGAAGATAAATAGTATGAAAATATAAATTATAAGTTACACAAAAATTATAAAAAATTGATTCTTAGGTCTTGATCTAGATTGATTCTTTGTATATGTTGGAAATGTTATATTTACATGCAATATTTTTACAAATGTATAATAATGACTAAGAATATCAGGATTATCGTCATATCGTGATCCATTATCAATGCTAATGTTTTGTAAACCTCGCTGTTCACGTCATCTGGACGAGGAGCACACTGATATTGAATATCAATGTATTCCTCGCCCTGATGAAATAAATAGCAAGATTCATGCACAACATTGGCATTAGCAATCGATCATAATCATCCACAAATCCTTTGGCACCGCTGACAAAAATATCTGTGAAAGCCTCCAAGGTAATATAAAGGATAATAATGTATGTACATATATAGTAGCTCTCTTTCAATTTTTTACCAACAAATTTTTTAGACAATTTGGAGTTGCTTTCATTAACAATGATAAGTATATACAGGTAAATATCAAGTAAAATAATAATACCTTATAACATAAACTCGACACTAGCACAATGCTTTGTGTTTAATTGCTAGATACATCCATTGTTGTAAGATTATGTTTTACTATTTGCATGTTTGGATGTTGTTCTCTCTCTCTCTCTCTCTCTCTCTCTCTCTCTCTTGATTTCTTAATATCAAACAAATTGTCTTTATATTAAATATGGCACATCATTCTGATGTGTCATTACAGTCATCTCTACAACTGTAACATATAAAGTTGATTCACTTCATGTTCAAAATTCGAAAATTTTCTTCGAGTAACAAAGAACCACCTTTACTTTAAAAATCAGATATTACTCCGTTTGAGCAACTGTCTGCTTTAACCACACTTGAAACACAAATAAGATTAACATAAATAAGGAATGTTATTCGCCAACTGACATCCCATTAAGTTCTTTGAAGTAATGCACAGCAAGTATGCAAGGTTGTTATATGGATAAGTAACTTGTGTACTAGTATGAGATTAATATCAACATTGATCAACATAGACTGCTGTCAAAAATTTTGCAAACGATTCTTCAGCGATAATTTTTCTTCGAAATAGATGAATGTTACTTCTCGCAGCTGCTTCTCGCTTAGTCTCTTGTATCTCAACATACGAATGTGTTCATGTGTTGTCAATCCGCGTCATCTATCGAAATACTTACAAATCTCTCTGCTTATAAGCATCTAGTTATATTTTCCATATCATAACCTTTAAACACAATAGGCACAAGCAATAGGCAACAAGGAATAACGAGTCGTCCAATCAGAACTCTGGGATATAATATTGAACTTATACCCCAAAGCTTTGACTGGATCGTTATTCCCTGTTGTCTGTGTCTCTATTGTGTTTAAGGCTATACACTTTATCACTTCACACTACCGATTGGCGACATGGCGATTTCGTTTGTGTCTATTGGTTACAGCATAAACTCTTGCATAATGCATAGTGCATAAGGGAATCAATCAATCGAAATCCTTTTTTTCTAGGGAATGGTAGGAAAGGAAAGATTCTGATTAGTTGATTCGCTTATGCACTGTGCGTTATGCGTTATGCAAAAGTCTGTGCTGCGGCCTTATGTATTAGAAACCCCTAGTGTTATGGCCATTCTATAATAAGCCATTAGTCATAAATCATAAGTTAGAAGTTGAAACGACTGTGATTGATCAATTTCCAGCTTCTAACTTCTGATTGTAGAATGAGTGTTAAAGTATATCCACACAACTTGCATAGCCGCATAAACGTATGCATAAAAAAAATTATCCAATCGCATTTCTCTTATAAAAACGTATGTAAAATGTAATTGGATAATTTTTGTTATGCATACGTTTATGTGATTATGCAAGTATATGTGGATATACTTTTAAGCGAGAAGCACAAACTCTTGCATAACACGTATATATAATGCATGAGAAAATGTACCAATCAAAAATCCTTCGTTTTCTTCCTTTCTATGAAATAAAGAACTCTGATTGGTTGGATTTCTTATGTCTTATATATGTTATGCGTTATGCAAGAGTCTGTGCTTCCCTCTTGAAGCGGCATAAGAAAAACAACCAATCAAAATCTTTTATTTCATAGAAAGGAAAGAAATGAAGGACTTTGATTGATACATTTTCTTATGTATTATGTGTTATGCATAAGAAATCCAAAGCTTACCTCGCATACATTATAGATCTTTGAAGGATGTATATCAAGTCTAATGTTCTTTAGCCTTCATTGCCTTCTTCTCTCTATGGCTGTGGTCAAAGTCTCGCTACAAATGCTTCGAAGCGTTTGATGAATCAATTAGAAGAAAGAATTTTACAAACTGACCAATTAAAAAACGCTTCAAAGCATTTGTAGCATTGTATTGACCGTATCTTTTGGCAAGCGATGCATTGAATATTTCTTTTTTAAAGAATTGGTGCACTTGAGTACATAACAATAAGTTATCTTGTATTCTATAAATAAATTGCATTTTAATAGTACTTTTATATATGTAATGATTAATAATAATAATTAATAAACTGTCACATTATTTTGAGATTAAAGAGTAAATAATATTATGTGTGCTTTATTCTTTTAAAGCATGTAATAATAAACAATTTTATAATTTTTTATTATTAACTATATATAATTTATTCACTTATTTTCTTATAATAACGTCGTGTATATACACATATAGTATATATGTAACTTTTTACAATACGACACATGAATCATTCACGGTGGACGTGATCGATCCCAATTCCCGTTCATGTCTCGTTCAATTTCTAACGAAAATATAAAGTGTACAAGCACTAAGAACACATTCTTACCACTTTTATTCTCCGACATTTTGAGGGCATGGTCAGAGATTCAGAAGGTCGATTGTGTATCTTGAAACTTCACTTAAGTATTTATAATTTAATTGGTCAATACCTAGTAATCTCTGCTCACTTTTGTAATTTTCACTTCCTTTCAAAATCCACAATTGATCTCCTGAGAGACAATTCTGTATCTTTAAACAAGGTGAAAATTACAAAAGTGAGCAAATTTACTAAGTGTTGACCAATGAAATTATCAGAATTCTAGTAAATTCGTTCACTTTTGTAATTTTCGCCTCGTTTTAAGATACAGAATCGATTCCCTAATATTCTAGCAACTCTAGCTGGAAATAGTGTAAATGGCTAATACATTGGGTGCTTTCCAATTGTTTAACACATCTTAACACAAACGTACACAGTGTGAATGCACAAAGTGTATCATTATGCACGATTTAATTGGAACAGAATGTGTATGCTGTGCATGGTTGAGATCCGTTTCGGATAGAGTTAGATTAAATGTAGCTTTTTCTGCCTGTATTAAATAAAAAAAAAGATAAAAGTGCCGGCAACTCAACGTCTTCAAACCTCATTTATAGTCACCGCAGTTAGTAATATGTAATTGTGACTAGAAAACACAAGCTTACACAGCCCTCGACTGAGTACAGATGTGTAGCGTTGTGTCAACGATAACGGACACAACAATTGGAAATAACAATTGGAACGCAACTTGTGTGTGCACGAAAATGTTTAGGGAAATTATTAGGGAAATTGGAAAGCACTCATTGATAATACACACGGATATGCAACTTTCGCTTTTGCCTTAATTTAGCGAACCAATCACCGATCGTTACTCTATTGTCTGTACTCTTATTAAGTCTGCGGCACACGATGTTTGTTTTCTTGCTGGATTACTAGCTGGATTAGAATCTTGCCACTATGTTGGCTGCGATGCTGTCACTAACGGCATCGCAGTCAATACAGTGGCAAGATTCTTATCGAGCCCTAGGTTGCGATCGATTTGGACGCTCACGCGCTTTAAGCGCTTGTAATCATCATTCTGTCTTTATCGTTCATTAGACGTAAAATAAGAATAGAAGTATTGACAAGCGTTGGAAGCGTCCAAATTGACCGCAGCCAGAATGTAAGTCTGTTCTATTTAGTTAAAGTTCTTGCACGGTTTATCTTTTCTCTTATTCTCTCCAACGTAGAGAGAAAAGGAAGAAAAATGAACCGTGCAAGTAGTTCAGCTAAAAAGAACAGGCCTTGTGATTATCGCACTAGTATATATATGTACGTATGTACGCAATTGATCACAATTTAGCTGATTTCAGCTGATTTTGTTAGTGAGTCCTGATGGGTATTCTTTAAAGAAAATTTGTTGACGAAGCGTGAATGGTCAATCTTATCAACTTTTAAAAAATTTGAGTGATCATGATGGGCCCTTTACAGATAATTGCGCGAACCACAAAAATCGGTATGATATTCAGATGAATTTTGACGAAGCTGATCTTGATTATTCTTCCGTTCTTTCTTTTTCTCTTCTCATTTTGAATGCTTTCTGTTTAGTGATACAAATCAACATAAACCTTTATCTTTTTGGGCATTCAGTGAATAATAAACGACTTATATTGATTTATATTGACCTAAAGCATTTTTTGTATCTTTCTACTTGAATGTAATGCTATGTAATTTATTTTAATTACTTCATCAGCTGATCTTGAACAAAGCACAATTTTTTGTTTTCTTATTTACTTCTTTAATATGCATAATTAGACTGCCAATTTATCATCAAAATCGTTCAATTTGTAATAAAGAGGATTTCTTAATATCTTTATTGAGAAATAATGATAATTTTAAAAATCGTAAATGTTTTATAGCACCAGGAGGATTCCTTAAGATTGTTCCAAATGGTATAAACATATGTTTGAGTCGAAGTAAATATTATTATGTAAACAAAGACAAAGATAAAACCTGGACAGATATTATGGAAGCAGCAACTACACATATGTTTATTCTTGAAATTATTCGAGGAATGGGAATTGCTGTGTCTCAGATATTTAGGGAACCAGCAACAATAAATTATCCTTTTGAAAAAGGACCTTTGAGTCCTAGATTTAGAGGAGAACATGCATTAAGGAGGTACGTATAGATATATAAACCAAAATTTTATTGTAAATGTATGTGTATATATATATATATATATATATATATATAT